TTTTTTAATCAAAATCAAAATCAAATTCAAGCATGTTTGGTGGTTGGCGATTGTGTGGTTTTTGGTTCAATATCATCAAGCCATTTACGAATAATTTCTTCATGTTCAGCTAGATTTGCTTCCAACATGGTTAATGCTTGTGGATTAGTTGCTTCATTGATTTCTTTAACTAAATTTTTCAATATAACAACTTCATTGTTGATAACTTGTACATCGATTTGTTTACCTTGTCCATATTTTTTAACAGCATCTTCAGCTTCGCTAATAAGTTGTTGTGCTCTTTTCAATAAAGCATCTTTATCATAATCACCAGCGATGATTTGACGTTGATGATGATGATGTTCCAAATGATAAATTTCTTCTTCAACACGATTTTCTAATGCCAATAATTCCAATTCCAATAAATGGAAATTACGTAATTGATGTTCGGTCATATTTTCCATTTGTGACATATTATGAACCATTTGAGAAACAGATTCAACACGATGAATATCATGTTCTAAATGTATAAGAATAGAATAATCTTCCGAATTATTCAAATATTTTCGTACATCATTTTCGGTACGTTCTTTTAACGTATCTGAATGTTTGACCAATGCATCAGCAATTTCATATCGTCCACTTTCGACATCAGCGATGATTTGGTCTTCATGTGAATGATGATGATGATGGTGATGGTGATGATGTTCCAAATGGTACATATCTTCTTCAACACGATTTTCTAATGCTAATAATTCCATTTCTAATAAATGAAAACGACGTAATTGATGTTCGGTCATATTTTCCATTTGTGACATATTATGTACTAATTTTGAAAGAAATTCAACACGATGCATATCATGTTCTAAACGTACAATACTGGAATGATCATCAGAATTATTTTTATATTTTTCAATATCTTTATTGGCAAGTTCTTGCAATGAATCAGCATGTTTGACCAATGCATCAGCAATTTCATATCGTTCACTTTCGTTTTCGATATCTAAATCAGCATGTGGATGATGATGATGGCGATGATGATGTTCCAAATGATACATTTCTTCTTCAACTCGATTTTCTAATGCTAATAATTCTACTTGCAATAAATGAAAATGACGTAATTGATGTTCGGTCATATTTTCCATTTGTGACATATTATGAACCAATTTTGAAAGAGCTTCAACACGATGCATATCATGCTCTAAATGTACGATACTGGAATGATCTTCAGAATTATTTAGATATTTTTGAACATCATTATCGGATTGTTGTTTTAACATATCGGCATGTTTAACCAATGCATCAACAATTTCATATCGTCCACTTTCGCTTTCGATATCGAAATCTGCATGTGGATGATGATGATGATTATGTTCTAAATGATAAATTTCTTCTTCAACACGATTTTCCAATGCCAATAATTCCAATTCTAATAAATGAAAATTACGTAATTGATGTTCGGTCATATTTTCCATTTGTGACATATTATGAACATATTCAGAAACAGCTTCAACACGATGTATATCATGTGCTAAACGCATTAATGTAGTATAATCTTCTGAATGATTTAAATATTTGATAATATGATTTTCGGTTTGTTGTTTTAACATATCAGCATGTTTAACCAATGCATCAGCAATTTCATATTGTCCGCTTTCGATTTCAAAACCTATAAAACAAACAAGCAAAAATTAACCAATAAATAATCAAACAAACAATTCTTGAAAATTCATACCGAAAACAAGACATGCTGAAGCAACGACAGCCAATGAATAGATTAAAAATTTCATTGTTGTTTTTTCAGAATTTCACTCGTTGTTTTGATAATGATAATTTAATGTTCAATCAATATCGAGAGACTAAGATGGAGATACCGGATTTTTAATCAAACTTTTATACACTTTTTTTTGTCTAAATCCATTAACAAATCAATATTGTTATCAAAACCAACCAAATAAATGTACTCAACAAAAAAAAATTGATTTTTTTTTTTAATTTGTTTCTAGAAATATCATCACAGGTAATTCGTGTTATATTCAATTATAAAGGATCTTTTTTTTTTAAAAAAAAAAATTAACCTTGATGTTGTTGATGATGATAACATCTTAGTTGATAATTTCGCAGACCAAAAAAAAAATTATCGAAAATCACTAATCAATCAATTAATTAGCCAAACGGTCCCTCACAACAACTAATTAACTAATTAAACAAAGTTACACTATCTATCTAGATTCTAGAATCAGAAAGAAATCTATTTTTCTCTTCCATAAATCACCTCTTATGCCACAAATTTATTGATCAAAAGTAGATTGTTTACTTGTGTGTGTGGATCATAATACAATCAAAGCAATTCAATAACCAGAAGAAAAGCAATCAACAAGTGGATATTTTTCTCTCCAAAAATAAACGATGATTACATCCATCCTTATTAGACTGGTATTGCAAATTCTTATGAAACAAGCAGAAAAACAACAGAAAAACAACAGAAAAACATCAATATTTTTTTTTTGTTTACATAAACATCAATAGATCAAAGATCATGTTTCAGGAAAGAGAAAATCATTTTATTTTTTTTAAGGAATTTTTCTTATCGTATTGTTGTCCAATACAATGTAAAACAGATTGAAATGATTAAATGAACAAAATAATAATGCTGCTGTTGTTGTTGATGATTGATTGATTTACCACCATTCATACATTTTGGATTATAAAAATGTTTACGTATCAATCGTTTTAAATAACCTTTATATTTAATAAATTTAATTGCATTATTAAATGTTTGTAAATATTCTGAATCATGACGAAATGCAATTGCATATTCACCCGGCACGTAAAGATTTTGATCTTGTAACATTTTTAATGAACAATCTTTTGATGCTAGATATAGATTTTTTGGTTCTTCCTGTATGAATGCATAACGTTCATGATAAATTTTATATAATGCTTCATCCAATCTTGTTACAAGATTTGTTTTATTTTTCATTAATTGATCATATAACCATAATACATTACGTATTTTATCACGTACTAATTGCATATTAATCATTGTTTTACCATTCATAAATGTACCAATAGCCAGATCAGATTTTATAGCTAAATCATCCATTGTTTGTAAATTTTTTACTAATGATTTTCTTGCTAATGCTGAAAAACTAAAACGTAAAAATGGTTCAGTAAAATTTACATATTGTTTTCGTTGTTCGGTTACGGTCATATCAGCAATAGCAAAATCAGCTTTCTGGTGAAAAAAGTTAATAACATTGGGTTATTGGTTAACCGAGAACAAAAAGCAAACATACTTTGTAATAAACATCACCAATAAGTCCGGATACTTGTCCAGTACGTTCATTACCAAAACCATATGTACCATCTTGTACTAAATATAAACTATAATTAAGACCAGTAAAATCTTCAATCAAATTCATAAGATCAACACAGAAACCGGTAAATTTATTATTTTCAACATTGATAAATGGTTCTGACTGATTTGATGATTAACCAAAAAAAAAAGAACAAAATTAATCAAAATTTAGGAAAATCAATTCACTCACCTTGATAGTAACACCGACAAGAATTTTTGCCGAAACTGATGATGATGAAATAGCCAAAATAAACAACGACGATAGCAGATATGATAAATTAAAAATTTCAATCAATTTAATCATCATTGTGATTATTGTTGCTGTAATTCAATAAAAGTCGATTGGATGAATAAAACAATGGCCAAAACATTGACCTCAGGCTTTGTCACGTCAGATAACAAAATAATAATAAATAATAAAAATCAATGTAAATTATCCGGAAATCTAGTCGATAATGAACATTTTGCAAGGATGTAAATCAGCCAAGTAGAAAAACCAGAGTGAAAAGTTGCAGAAAACAACAACAACAACAACAAAAACTGTTTTTTCAAAACAGAAAATGGCCTCATCACCACCAATATCTTGTAATTGATTTTGTTTTTCTTGTTTCTTGATTTCGATTGATGTTTTTAGGTTTTTTTTTGAAATATTCATGTTTAATCAATAAACCAATCATCATTATCATCGAAATGTAGAACAAATAAGTTTTTGTTTTGTTTTCCAATATTGATTCATTGATTGATTGAGCATATCGATTGGATTCATTTTTTTTACGAGGGAAATTGATGATAAAAAAACAAATTTGAATAAATCATCATCATTGATTTGATGTTCTGAATCTGGAGAAATTGTAATCAATTGATTTTGAATCATTTTATCATTCATTATCATTCGCGAATAAGAAAAACGATTTTTCGGAAGATAATTTTTATCAATATTGATTTTTTCGGATGTTCCAAGTGCATTAGTGAATTAGTTGGATTGAGCCAAAAAAGATGGCGCTACAAAATTTTTTCGTTCCAAAACATTCGATATTTCGAACAAATTCGATATATCGCAGCCGGAATAATGAGAAAAAAATCTTGTTTCATAAATCGATTGGCTAATGTAATGTGTGTTATTGAAATGTAAAAAAACAACAAAAAAATTATGAATAATTAGAAGAAAAATGATGAAGAAAAAAGGAGTCATTGAATTTTTGATATTATCGTGATTTTATCAAAAACAGAACAGAGGAAAAAAAATAGTGTCAAAGTCATCATTGATGTATCCGAAAAAATAACGAATGAATGAATGGCATTGTAATGATAATTTCTTAATATTTCTAGAATTTTCTTTTTCTTTTTTTAAAAATGAAATAATTTGTATCATCATTATCATTGTTTATTTTGTAAACAAAAAAAAAACATAAACAAATTCCACTTGAAACAAATGTTACATTTATTTGCTACTCTTTTTTTTGCTGTAAACTTTCTTTTTCGAAAAAAAATATTTACGGAAATTTTCTATTTCCGTACAATTTCTACTGTTGTTTATTGATCATATCGATTACTGATGATTGATAATGATGATGTTCTTGAACGGACATCAACAACAACAAACCGTTAATCCAAAACTTTCTATTTTTTTTTTTTATTTAACAAATTCAACTTTATCATCATCATCATCATTATCAAGCAAAAAAAAAATGTAAGTGCGTTTTTGTTTTTGTAACATCGTCTATGAACTGGGCAAAAACATTCGAATGTTAACGAGGCTAATCAAATCCTGATCCAAGTGTTTTTTTGTTTTGTTTTTCGTTAATAAAAATCTAGGAAAAGTTCATTGGTTTCAAGTTTTTCTTTTCTCCTCTACAAACATGATGTTGATGATAATGATGACGATGCTAATAAATGATGATGATTGTATATCGTTTGATATAATCAAGTGGTCCAGTAAGTCAGCAAAAAAAAGGGATGGCAAAAACGGAAAGATTTTCATTTTCTTCATTTAGTATTTGATCATCATCATTAACATCATCAATATAATGATGGTAACAACAAGTTTTCTTTTTTGGAAATTTGAAGAGAAAAAAATGACAACAAGAAGAAATACAACTTGTGTGATTCAGGATTTGGATCGATAAGATTCACAACAACAACAACAACAAAACATTCAAAGTGTTTTTCGATTTTCTCTTTTTCCGTTATTGAAAAAAAAGTTATCATTTTTCTCTTTCCCTTTGATCCAGATTTGTTTGTTCCAGAAACACAGACAATTTTGTTGTTGTTGTTATTAATTTTTTCTTGTTTTTTCATTTGCTCAACATATTTTTCAATCTTTTCATTTCACAATTCAATTTATGTTTTTTTTCGATCTTGTTATTGATCAATCAACAAGTGAGCATGTGAACCACGATCTTAATCAATTCAATTTGTTTACGTTTTTTTTTCTTATCAATTCGAACCAAACATTCATCTATATATCGAATGTGAAGAAAACCTAGCGCCATATCCTGTTGTCCAGTGAAAAAAGCCTCATTCCTTTTAAGTGTTTCGACCAAAACCAAAAAAAAAAACACATTGAATCCATTCAGGTGAATTACTTTTCCTTTTGTTGTTATAACCACTGTGTGTGTTCATTTTCCTTGTATTTTTGGTGTTTTTGTGTGCGTTGGAAACAATCAAACATCTTGATTATTGTTCTTATCGTCGACATTGAACAATCAAAAAAAACTTTATAAACATCAATAATTTATTTCCAATGAAATAATTTTCTGTCAGCAAAAAAAAAAAATCTTGTGATTTTTGATGAATTTCAAAAAAAATATCATCATCTTTGTTTTGTTGTTGTTTCTATAAACGAATAAAATCCTAATCAAAAATCAAAAAAACAAAAAAATTTCCTTCCCGTTAAATTTCGTTTTTGAATTTCCTCGAAAAATTTACCCATCACAAATTATATATTCGAGTGTTTCCTCGTTTCTTCCAAAAATATCAATCAATCAATCAACCAATTTATCTATTTGCAATAATTTCTACTGTAGATATCGATAAACTCATCGATTTCTTTCCTACATTATTTAAATCCAAACACACACAAAAAAAGAAGAAATTTTTTTTGTTCATCATTATCAATTGTGATATCCTTCATATCTTGATCATATCAGAATTCTACGAATTTTTTTTCTTTGGTTTATAAATCTTAACTTTGTTGAATGATAATGATTCATTCATTATCAAATAAATTCATCTTTTCAAAGTTCAAAATTGAATAAAATTATTTCGCATCATCACTTATTTAAATCAACGGTTTTTTCTTTTTTAAATTCAAATTGCGAATTTTTTTTCATTCATCATTATTGATTCAAATCAAATCAAAAAAACATCCAAAAATGGAACAACAAAATGAAAATGAATCACCTATTCGTAATCTAATGCCATTAGATGAAAGTATAATGAAAAGTAAAAAATGTGTTGAATTAATGGTTGATAATCGTTATATGGATGCTGTTGAATTATCATCACAATTATCTGATTGTTCACTTTATCATTCACATTGTCATTCAATGTTATTATTTTTTAAAGTTTATATGTCATTAGAATTGGTATGTTATTTGTTATTGTTACTAATTTTTCAATTATTAATTCAATAATCAATCAATTGAAAAGCCGGAAGTAAAAAAAGCTGAAGAAGCATCACAAAAAACAATAAAACTTTGTGAAGAGATACGTTCATTAACATTACGTGATAATTTTTTTGTTAAAATGTTTTTCGATCATGATTATAATCAATTTAGTGATGGTAAATATATTTATTATTGAAAATATTAGTTTTTTTTAAAGTATTTAATATTCATTTTATTTTTTGTAAATAAAGAGGAATTACATGCAGAATTGATTCGTGCCGAACAAACTGTATTTGCAACATTGATGGAATTTTTTGTTGATCAAAGTATATTTGTTTTAATGAAAGTATCATATCGTTTACGTTCAGTTTATATGATGTTTAAGTAAGTTTTATTTTTTGTTTATGTTTTTGTTTGTTTTTTGTTGAAAATATAATCTTATAAAATGGGCCATTAGAAAAAAAACTGATGATTCGTCGTAATAATAATCAATTTTATGTGTTTATAAAAACCTTGTATATAAAATGAATGAATGAATGAATAAAATATAAAAGTCACTGACCTTTTTCTACTTTTATTTTTACTTTTTTTCTCTTTCTACATCACATCATCAACATCATTATCCTCATCATCATGGCTAATCATTTTTTTCTCCCAATATTTTCGTCATTGAACGGCGAATGATTCATCGAACTATCAAAAAATTGAACAGATCATTTGCAAAAATATTGGATACAAAAGAATGGTCAAGTGAAACATCAGCTAGTACATTTAATACCGGTGTTAAACTTGGTCTTGGTATCTATAATCTAATGTTTTCAATGGTACCTGAACGTTTAATGTCAATATTATCGATGGTTGGATTTAAAGGTTCAAAATATGAAGGTTTAGCATTGTTAAGAGAAGCTGGTTCGGCAAATGATATACGATCATTTGTTGCACAAATGATGGTTTCATTATATGAATGTTATTTAGATCAAATGTGGAATGTACGTTCAACAAGTACAATTAATACTGTTAATTATATTCAACTTGGATTGAAAACAAATTCATTGGTTTGTATTTAAAATTTTCTATTTTACCTATTCAATCAAACTCGAATATAATTTATTTCATTTATTATTTAGTCAATATGGTATTCATTATTCAAGGGAAGAATATCTCTTATCGAACATAATCTTGAACAAGCCATTAAAGATTTTGAAGGTTGTGTAAAGCTAAAAAATTGTATAGATATTAAACAATTAACAACATTATATCATTGGGAATTGATGTGGTGTTATGCGTATGTATTTTCATTTATTTAGCGAAAATTAAAATCAAATCGATCCATTTTTTTTAACAGCCTTGATGGTGATTGGAAAAAAGCAATACAATGTAGCCATGATTTACGTAATATGTGTGTTTGGTCACAATCAACATTGTTGTATTTGGAAGCAAGTTTCCGTATTATGTATCTTGAAACAAAATTATTAGAAGATCAGCCACCGAAACCATTTCAAAGGCAACAAAATGGTAAAGGTAAACGAAAACAAAAACAAGTTCAACAACAACAATCATCGACAAATGATGAAACGATCCAACAGCAACGAGATAAAATACATGATCTGTTGACGTAAGTTGTTTTTCATGTTTTGTTTTGTTTTTTGGTCATTTCTTTTTTCTATTTGCTAATTTCCCAATCATTTTTTTATCATTGGGCAATTTAACACTAATTCAAATGAAATTAATATCATTCATTTCAAGTTAGAAAAGAAAATCGGGACAATTTTTTTCAAAAAACAAAATTATCTGTTTTTCTTTTCCGGATCATTTGATTGAAAAATTGATTTTTCGTTTTTTTCTCTTAATTAATGTTTTTTTCATCTCTAAAGGCAAGTACCTGAAAAAGTTAAACGTTATGCTGGCCGTCGATTACCAATGGAAAAATTTGCCTGTGAAAAAGTTATCAAATATCAACAGGAAGGTCGACTTACATGTCCAGCATATGTAAGTGTTTTTAATGTTTTTAGTTTGCTTGTTTGTTTTAAAATTTAATTTAAACAACAAAAAAAATTGAAAAACAGGAATTATTTATCACATGGAATCATTTGACATTTATTGATAGTCAAGAAAAATATCTATTGCCCATTATTAATCATGTGGATAAATATTTGAAAAAATTTTCATCCGATTTAAGTAAGTTAACATTTATTACTCAATTCAGTTTTTTTTGATCAATTTTTTTCCTTCAAACCAATCAATCAGGTGATGAAAGCTATTTTCTACTCATGTTAATCAAAGGTGCCAGTTTTAGATTATTGAATCGTTTGGATGATGCTAAAACATGTCTAATGGAAATAGTAAAAAAGTATGTTGAATTCAATTGAATTGAAATGATTAATTGTTGTTATTCTCTCCTTTTTTTAATGTACGGAAATTATAGTAAAAAAACTATCAAACATGATCGACATCTATATTCATTTGCATGTTTAGAATTGGGTATTGTATTAATGGGACAGGAAATGTTTGATGAATGTCAACAAAGGTTATTGGAAGCTCGACAATCAATAAAAAAAGAAGATCCAATGGAATTATTTGTACAATTTCGTGTAGGAAAAGCATTACGTATGATGAGACGTTTACGTGATGAATCATCATCATCAATTTCCGATAATAATAAAATTTCTAGCCAAAAAATAACTAATAATGGTAATAATGTTGATGGTAATCATTGTAATGGTATTCAACAGGAAATGGCAGTTACCGTTAATGGTAATTGAAAAAAACGAACAAACAAACAAAAAATATTCTGTATGAATTATTATTATTATTAATATAAATATAAACCCGATCAAACCAATGATGATTTTATAATAATTCATTTATTTTTAAATTTCTTGTTGTTATAATTGTAATTTGTGCTAAATTGAAATTTTAAATGAAAAATTGATTCATTGAAATATGTCCATATAAAATGATATTTCAATTATATAAAGAAAAATTGCTAATAAATTTAAAAAAAGATATAATTGAAAAACATATTTAAAATGTTCTAATTTAAAATCAAATATAATATTATCATCTTTTTTATATGAATCTTTTTCAACAATAATTCTTCGTACTTTAGTCATACTGATACCTAAACGATTCCAATCGGTATCCATTTCAATATTTGAACGATAATGATTTAATATACCGGCATCCTGCAGTATTCCGATTCTAGTTTTTTATTTATTTATTGATTCAAAAGTTAATTGGTTAAAAAATGTCGAAACCTGGATGATACTTACATTCGATTAAAATGTTGTTTATATGGAAATGAATTTCGTACCGGTATAGCAATTAAATATGTAAAATAAGACGATTCAGGTTTTCTTGGTGGAATATAAAGTAAATCAGGACCATTCATTAATTGATCAAAACGAATTAAATGACGTGAACCAATAACTGCAATCTGTTTTTCACCATTTTTACCAAAAAATGATCTTTTTGTTGATGATTTTTTAATCTGTTTCATTAATAATTCCATACACATTTTTCTTGCTTTACATGGTTGATAATTTTCTCTTATAGTTTTAAATTCTTGTAATTTTGTTGGTGAATAAAATGCCTGCTGTGCAACACTTGAATTTTCACCAATAGGCAATACTTTTCCAGCACTAATTGCATCAGTCATCTGTTTAACAGTTTGAATTTGTTCCGATGTTCTTATGGTTAATGTTGATAATAAAAAACAACAATAATAATTTATAATTATAACAATACACATTGCCCATAAAATGATAAAAATTTTTGATGAAATTGTTATCGAACCAAGATGATGATATGGTTGACGAAAAAGTAGATTAAAACTAATCCATGCAAGATTTGATAATTTTTTTGGATTTTTTCTGGAACGAATTGATCTTGAAACTATATCAAAAATACCTAATATAATAAATATAATGAATAATAATAGCCATACATCTAGTTCGAATGGTCGTATAATATTTTTAGAATCAAATTGTTCTTTATTTCTAGCCATCATAAATGTATATTCACCAAATACATATGGATAAAGAAAATCAATAGATTGTTGTCGTTTATATGTCATTGCAAATCCACCAAGACCAATATCGAATTCCTAATGAAAATCAAAATAACAAAAACAAAATTTGGCAAAATTTCATCGAATTGGGTCGTACTTTTTTTTCAACTTTAGACAAAAGCGAATCATGCGAAGAATCTTTTGAATTAGCTAAATGATAGCTAAAATTAAAAAATGTTGCTAAATCTTTAATCAATTGACTTTCGATTCCAATTTGAATTTGAAAGGAATTTATTGTAGAATTCCATACCATCCAATTGTAAGGAAGATCCTTTTGAAGAATTTTTTTTTTTTTTTGAAAATACAAACAATTTTGTTAAAATGTTTTAAAATCGTTAATTATCAACTTACATTACGAAATCCAATAGTAAAATTTTCTCCTGCTAAACTTTTTGGTTTCATTGCCAGTTTATTTTTGAAAAAAAATATCTCATTGTTTCTAACCAAAAAAAAAAATTCTTCTTTTCCCGTTGTATTGATCATTGATGGAAATTATTATTCGAAACAACAATCGATAATATAAACAAATTTATTCAAAAAAAACGAATATAACCAAAAAGAAAACAAAACATAATACAATTAATTTTATTCAAATTTCTATTTTATCACTTTTATCATTATTAGAAATATTATTGATTATATCATTCGATGATGATGATGATAACTGTAATTTTCTGTTCGGTATTACTTTCTGAAAAATATTAGTCCAAGAAAAATTATTATCGATCATTCCATTCGAAGCTAACAACATTATTTCATAAACATGTGGTATTGATAGAATTCTTCGTTGATTCATTTGTATATGTTCACCAATTGGTAATTGGCCATAATTCATTTGAAATTCTTCACGAGCACGTTTTAAACATAAACATTTATGACGATTATGATCAATTAAACCGCCAATAATGAATACATAATCATTCGATTCTTTTATTTGTTGACAATCCGGTATGGTAGCTTTTGCATCACCTGTTAGATAAATTATTTTTGGATTCGATTTATAATCGACAATATTATTTGAAAATAAAACTTCTGTCCAATGTTTATCCGTTACTTTACAATCCCAATTATGATAGCTATGATGTAAACGTTCCATTAGTTCTAATAGTTTACCACGCATAGATGTTATCCATAGTTGAGCCGGTGCTGAACTTCGACGATTAATTGCATAACAATACATTAATTGTTTGCAAAGTTTTCGTAATTCATTTTCATTCATAAATGATTCATAATCACAATCAATAACAATTATAGTTTTACAATTAGAATTAGACATTGAAACTGTTTGTAATCGAGGTTTTTTGCTAACCGTACCATTCAGTTTATTTTGTTGACGACGTTCACGACGACGTTTTTTCTCTTCACGTCGACGTTCAGCTCTGGTTTCTGCCCATCTTTGTTCACGTTTTAATCGTCTTTGTTTTCGTTTTGATAGCTGAGAATTTGATTCCGGATGGCCATCATTTGACGAATCAATTGAACTTTTTTTTAATTCAGATTCTTTGGTTTCATTCTGAACATCGGAATTTAAATTTTCAGTAACAACAGCATCATTTGTATTAGATTCATTTGATTCCATTGAAAATGGATAAAAAATTTACAAAATTTACAAAAGTACAAGAATCTGAATGAGAAAATATTTGATTTGAATGAAAAAATCCAAATTACAATTTGGACAACACATGGTGGTCACGTGTTTTATGGATAGGATCCAAGTCTGTTGGATACCACGTGAGTTTGAATACTCTCGCGATCATCGTGTTTTGATCAATAATCGTTTGATGATATTTTCGGTAAAAAATGGCTCGTCGTCGAAAGAAAAGGGTTTGTATTGAAAATAATTTAACAAAAATGTTTAATCATAATTTAAATGTTATTATTCAATAGTCCAAAGGATCAAAAGAAGAACCTAAAGAGCTTGTCAAAGCACCACATTCGTTTGTTATTCATCGTGGTAGTATTAGCAAAAAACTTGAACAATTACTTCGAAATGTTCGCCAAATTATGGAACCATTTACAGCATCAAAACTTAAAGTTCGAAAAAAGAATACAATCAAAGATTTTGTTTCCATTTCAAGTTATCTTAACGTTAATTATATGATCATTTTTACCGAATCTTCAATTGCACCTTATATGCGTTTATGTCGTGTACCTCGTGGTCCTACAATAACATATAAAATATTGAATTGTACATTAGCACAAGATGTTCTGGCTGGACAACGTAAGCCTCATATTAACACGAAATTATTTCATAATGCACCACTTTTAGTGTTAAATGGTTTTGGATCTGAATCTGCGGATAAAAGTATTCAGCTACAAACATCAATGTGGCGAAATATGTTTCCGACGATTGATATTCAAACTGTTCAATTGTCAAAAATTCATCGTTGTTTATTGTTGTCATTGGATTCAGAAACCAATCAAATTGAATTACGTCATTATGCAATCAAAGTAAGACCAGTTGGTCTAACAAAAATGGTTCGAAAATTAGTTACAGGCAAAAAAATACCTGATCTTGGTCAATTTCATTCGGTCGAAGAAGCTATGGAACATTTGGATCCGGATTCTGAATTTGAAGATGATGAAGAACAAATGAAAATCGGACAGGTTACATTACCGCAAAAAGTTGGTAATAAAAGTGGAAATTTAGTGAATGAAAAAAGTTCAATCAAGTAAGAATATGATTTTTTTTTGTTGAGCGAACAAGTTTATCATAATAATAATGATTATTTTCATTCAATTATAGATTATATGAAATTGGACCACGTATACTTATGGAATTGGTCAAAGTAGAAAATGGTATCATGTCTGGTGAAGTTCTTTTTCATAAATATGTACAGAAAACAAACGAAGAAATTGTTGAACAAAAGAAAAAAATTGAACAACGAAATTGTCTTAAATTATCACGAAAACGACAACAAGAAGAAAATGTTCGCCGTAAACAAGAAAAAATGTCTGCAAACAGAAAGCGAACAAAACCAGATGAAGAATCGGAACAATCTAATGAATGTGATGATGATAATGATAACGATGATGATGATAATCAACCATCATCGTCAAAAACAAAACGAAAAAAATTCGAATCATTTACCATCGATAATAATGATGATAATGATATTGATAATGAAGAATGCAGTGATTATCAAATTTCCGATGATGAAATGAATGTATTCAATGACGATGATGAGGACGATGAATAACAAATGAACAAAAATGAAAGGAATTTTTATTTTTTTAAAATTTAATTTTCGATATTTTGTATAAATCATTTATCAAAAGAAAAAAGTAATGATTTTTGAAAATAAGAATAAAAACATTTTTTTTTTCTAAATTTGCTTAAGACTCGAATGGAATGAAATTCTTATTCTATAAATGAAAAAAAAATGGGAATGTTCACACACATACACACACACACACAAATGAATTAATCATTGTTTTGACTATCCGGATAAATATTATTATTCCATGAGTTAAGTTTAAGTGCTAATGGTGATGATTGATGATGATCCGAATTGATAATCGATCCATGATGATAAACAGCTGTTGATGGTGATATTGTTGATTGTATTGTTTCGCTTGGACCAAAAGCAGTAATTAAAACATTGATAACTGTGACCAAAAATATAACAATAACGCTTGCATTATTCATCATATCAGCACGACGACGATCATGGCCATAATTTATATTCAAACGACCCAATGCAATAAACATAATGCCAACAATGATTTGCATTAATATTGATATGACAATTAATGAAACGGTTACTTGAAAATATCGATGATGATTTGCATTGATTAGAACATCTAATATATGAAGAACATAATTATTATTAAAACATTACTTTTCGGAATTTTTTGGGTGATTCTTACATTTCAATTGTGAAGCATTAGCACACATAAGACCAAGATCCATAATACCTTGGGCAATTGTTTTACGTGTAGCATACATATTCATATCCATAATCGGTGTACGATTATGATTCGATGATGATTGTTTTAAATCGATTATATCGATAATACCACCGTTACCACCATTATTTCCATTTCCATTTCGATCCAAATCGCTTACAGTTTCTTCATCAGCCTGCAAACAAATGAAAATTGTAAAAAATTTTTTAAAATTCAAATTTTAAAAATAATTAATTTTAAAAAAATGATAGAGACATATGGAATATAATTATTGTTGTTGTTGTTTGTATTTAAATTTGGATTACTAATTGCACGTAAATTAGCAGTCGGTGGTCTTGTAAATCGAACACGTTCGAATGGCATTATTATTGATGTTGATGATGCTGATGATGATGTTGATGTTGATGATAATAATGTTGATGATTTATCAATTAAATTATAACGGTCATTAATACGACGCGAACAACCGATTAAACGACGATATGATTTCATTAATGAAGAAAAAAAATCAATAAATTTTTCGAAATGTAACAAACTGAAAATGAAAGAATCCGGGATTCACAAACAACAAATTTGGCCAATCTTTAAAATGTTTTCCCGAACAACAACAACAACAACAAAAACAATCGATTGTTCCGTTGTTTTTTTTTGTGGAAAAAAGAAACAATGAAAATGACCTATACACATTCCATTCATTAACCGAAAGTTTAAAAACGAAAAAATCATCATCATAATAATTATCCTCATCAGTGTGAAGCAGATGTGCAAACTATTTTTGCTTTGTTGTAATTTGCGTATCATCATCATCGAAATTCAACTAAAAAAGGGAACAACAACAACAACAACAACAACAACAACAAATAATAATAATTTTTAAGTATCCGTAGATAATCAACAATCGAGATGTTGTTGTTGTTGTTGTTATCATTTATTATTGATGATGATGTTTTTTTCGCGTTTTCTAATAATGATCGAAATTTCGAAATAATTATAGTATGATTGAAAGAGAAAAATTTCAAATGAGAAGGAATTGGTGCAAACAACAACAACAAGACAAACGAAAAGTTTCATTAATTATTTGAAGAAAAAGAAGAAAAACAACAAAAATAATAATAATAATTACCATTGAAGATGTGATAAATAAATCTTGTAGCCAATTTTTTAAATTATTTAATCTTACCATAGTTTACCGTAGATTCTGATGATGAAACTAAAAACGTTCGATTTTTTTTTTGGTGTTTGAAAACTGATTCTGGTGTTTTTCAAATTGAATTCGAAACAAAACCAAAACGACAAGCAAGAAAAAGCTCTCAAGATGAAAGAACGAATCAATAAATAAAAAAAACTTTTTCAACGATCTAAACAAGTTATTAACATTCATTAAAACTAATTATGATTCGCAAAAATAGCACACACACGTGTCTATCATCATTATTATCATTAGCGAAAAACAATACTTGAAATGTAGAGTATGGCACACAATATACTGCCCATTTCATGAATTTCGTATGTGAATTTGTATGAAAACGACAATATAAGATGTATAAATAAATAAAGAAATTAAGAGAAAAAAAATGACAATAGGGAAGAGGAAAATTGAAAATGGAAAACAATTTATCATTTGATCATTGTTGTTTTTTTTCATAAATAAAAAAATTGAAATTGAAATTGAATGACAAGTGAACAAAATGTGATGAATAATTTTTTTGGACACAGATGTTTTCATTTGATTCGTTTGATTGATTGAATTTCGTAAATATATACTTACAATTGGAGCTTTTTGATTATCGACCAAATTCTTATGATCATCATCATAACCATCATCATTATTCAAAGATGTTGTTACAATTTTTATCGGTTTAGATAATGATAATGAAGGTTGTGATATTGATTTCGGTACCAATGTTGATGGATGAATAATATTACCATAACCACCATTTGTCATTATTAATGTAGATGGCTGTAATGTTAATAATGATTTGGGTGAAAAAGATGATGATGGTGATGGCAATGATATTGGTCTTAATGTTGATTTCGATGTCATCATCATTGTGCCGTTATTCCATTCAAATAAATCTTCTTCAGTTTTATTGATGATTGGCGAATCGAATATGAAAAACAATAATAAATTGATTGGCCATTTTCATTATCGATTTTCGAATAATAGACTTCGAAAACAAAAACAAAAACAACAAACAGAAATAATGATTCTAAATCCATCACAATGATGAGATTTGCTTGTTTGTTGTTGTCTGTTTTTGTTTAGTTGGACAACAACAACAACAACAACAACATTGTCAACAAATTAATCTTCGTAAAATAATAATGATAAATAGTAAAAGACAAACACCCAAAACGATCGATATTAATAAATAATGCGACATATAGGTGATGGCCGCTTTTGTTTTTTTCGTTTTCGTTTCTATATCATTATATGTGTGAAAAAAATGTATCAGAATTAATTCAGCGGGATATGATTCGAGTATGATGATGATGATAAAGAGAATGAATTTTCTTTCCAAAAGAAAATCCAAAAAAGACAAAATAAAATCAGATCAAAAGAATTCAGAAGCTTTATATGGATGATAGATAGGATAGATAGATGGTTTGGCTTGTTCGAACAACAATCGAATCGATATATTGAGTGATGAACGAATCACAAAATGTCAAAAAAAATATTCGAATGTTAAATCAAAAAGTTTTTGTTTTGTGTTCGAATTTTTTTCTTCTTCGATTCTTGAAGATTCTGTGATTTTTTTTTCTTCTTTTGATTACTGTTTTTAATAAACAAAAAAAAAATATTCTTTTGATTGATGATAATGTTCGGGCGTTGGCTCAATATGTAAATTCTGAATAATATATTTTTAAACAAACAGGTTCGTTTGGCAAACACAAACACATCAAAATTAGATGGATATTTTTATTTATGGTTTTTTACTTGTTTCGGTCTATGTGATTATCATTATTCCTTGATTAAAATGAATGAAATTTTGTTCACAACACACACATAGAATATATGTGATATGTTTGCTAGAGCAAGAAAAAAAATTCTAATTCCAAATATCCAATTAGAATGTGATGATGGAATATAATTGTGAATCGCCAAGACAAAATGTACTCGCGCAAGCTCATCATTAAGATTTGTTTGTTATTTTTTGGGCGAATCAATCATTGATTAAACGAAAGAAAAATAATTTTACGAAAAAAAAACATTGGATCAAAATGAAAAAGAAGACAACCAGAAAAAAAATAATGGCAGTAAACGCCCTGTTTTCGCGAGCGAAAAACTAAAAATGTCGAAATAGAAATTTAGAAATTCTTTTTCAATAATTTATTCAAGTTTGAGCGTTACATATGTAATACAGAATTTATTTCTTTTCTTTTAAAAAAAGAATACCAACTTTATCTATCGATTTAATTATATTTTTCACATGATTTTTGGTAATGTTTTTCGGTTGATTGAAACCAAAATTTTTTGACATACATAATTTACATTTTTTTTTTGTTGGTTCGTTTATGTGGAAATAGCATTTGTTTCGAACGAATAATCTTTCGGAATATCTGGTGATTTGTTTTTTTTTTGGTACGTTTTTACATTTTCTTTCTGTTCTTGTTTTTCTTTTCATCTGAGATTTACTTTATATGGTTTTTGTTTTGCATTTCATTTCAGAAAAAAAATTTGACCCCAAAAAAAGGATTTTCTGTTTTGTTTTTTGTCAATAAATTGATTATTCACATCAACAAGTTTTTTTGTTAATCCACCTACGCATCTTTATTCAAAACAGAAATGGAAAAAATAAAAACATGATTTTCATTTCGTTCCAAATATGTAATTGAACCCATTCATTTTAACATTATACGACAATGAATACAACAACAACAGTGATTTCTGAAATGCTTAAAATTCATTGAATTCACACCATATTAACTGAAAACATTATTAAAGATTTTTTTGTAATAATCCATTTGAATTATAATCATCATCATCATGAGTACATCATCACCACCATCATCATCGATTCATAATAATGATGATGATGATCATAATAATAACAATAATGATCAATCTGATTCACCAATAATTATGTTTAATGTTTATAATAAAAAAGATCAATCTCCTGGCAGTATTTTACCACCCGAAAATGAACAACAACAACAACAACAATCATCATCAATAATGATGAGAAAAAATTCACCGGCATCAAGTATATCGTATCAAAGTGGTGGTCATTATCCACATCATCATAATCATCAACATCAGCAACAACAACGACAATCGAAAAATAATGGTCTATCACCAAGGATTCCAAGAAAACCAATGACAAATAATGTATGTTTAATTTTTTGTTGTTGTTGTTGAAAAATAAATTTCATTTCAATAAAATAATAAATAGGAAATTGGAAATAATCATAAACCAATTCTATCATCACCATCGATTGTAATAACAGGATCACAACAATCATCGATTCAAAATCCAATCAATGATGGTTCATCACAACAACAACATTCGAATCGAAATCAACAACTATCATCTATTGATGATATTGATTATCCAGATTTCGAACATGATGATGATGATGATGATGTTGGAGATTGTTCACCTCGGGCACGAATGATACCGAAAGATTCTATTGGATCAAATTGGATACGAATGGATGATTATCAACAACAACAACAACAAAAAAATATTGGTAAAAATTCGAATGATCAACATGTAAAGAATGATAATAATAATAATAAAATCGATGTTAGTCTTTTTACGACCAAAAAAAATGTTGCACAAGGAATGTTAGATATTGCATTGTTATCGGCAAATTGTTCACAATTAAAATATCTTCTTTATCATTATGAACGTGATGTACCTATTGCATCGTCATCATCATCATCGCCATCATCATCATCATCAATGCAATCCATAAACCACCGGGATACAACATGGGCAACAATGTTCACTGGAACAAATACAGGATCATTGGATTTTTATTTTGCAACAAATCTTATCTGTATTAGTATATCAATATTTTTACAGATAATTATTGGAATATTATTAATTTTAAATAGCCGACATAATGTTTACATACATCGTTATCAACGTGTTGCTGATTCATATTCAAATTGGATATTATTAGCCGTATTTATTGTTACCGTTGTCAATATATTTTTATCAGTATTTATTTCTGCACGTTAAAATTTAATTACATATAATCTCATATTCAAATATATTCAAATTCAATGTAGTTTATTAATTTATTCATATTTCAATAAAGTAGATGATCGAATGTTTCCAATGACATTAATGATTCGATTGTATCATTATCATTGTGATTATTATCACCATCATCATTATCATTATCATCATTTTTATTATCAATTTTTAACATATTCCGTTGTCGATGACTAATTGAACGTTGAAGAAATCGATATGGAATTTTCATATTGATTGCAAATTGATTTGAATGATCACCATCCATTGATGATGATGATGATAATAAATGAATTCGAATATCCTTACCGTATTCATTATCAAATTCAATCAATGATAAATTATTGAATAAATTTACGGTACATGTTCCTTCATAATGTTCCAAAGATGATGATGTTTCATCATTATTCATTGTTGATAAGATTGAAACATGACCACAAAGTACTAATATTCCATTTGTATTGAATGTAATAAAACGTTTTTTCTCTTCATCATAACCAAACCATATCATTGATAAATCACCAGTCGATTGTTGTTGTTGTTGTTGTTGTTGATTTGGATAACATTGTATAATAATACGATTTTTATGATTTAATAAACGAAATTCAGCCAATTCATCTTGTTCAATAAATGGATTAAATGGCTGCAGACGAATTTGTTTCAAACGTTTAGTTAAACAATCAACAGATGGCGATGTTTTAATTTGATGATAAATTCCATAAAAAAATCCAATAATTTTACCATCCGCTTGCGATTCAACAAGATAACCATTCAAATTTGGATCCATTTCCATTCAACTTTGACTTTGAAAAATTACTGGAGCCAAAAGAAACCCGAACTAAAAATTCAAATTAAGAAAATGAATCGATAAAATAAACGAAAAAAAAACTCGAACAATCGAACAAAATGTGTATTTTGTAAAAAAAAAAATTTGTAAAAAATTTTTATATAATGATTATAATCGAATTTAAAAAATTTTTTGGTGGGAATTTTGCAAGTCGGTTGAAATAGACATTACAAAAAAAATTGAATGGAACAAAAAATGAATAAAATTTATCGCAACTCGTTTCTCAAATTTCGATGCGGGTTAAAAAATGAAAATAAGTTTGGAAAATTGTTTTCCATTGAATACGAAGAAGAAGAACATTTGTGTGTTCCATTTTGGCACTTTTCTATGGCTTTCAGCTAATTCAATCGATCGCGATTCAATTACGTGGAATAAGACCAATATGATAACAATCACCCGGTCTATATGGTAATGCTAAACTACCTTTTGGTTGTAACATTTTTTCAGTTAATTCATGATTATCCATCGATGTTAATGATGTTAATTTATAATCAAGTAATAGATTAGCAACTGTTGTTGTAATGATTGAATAAACCATTTTATAACCTAAACAAGAACGACGACCATGTGAAAATGGAAAGAAAAAATCCGGTTTCAATAATAAACCATCTTCAGTGATAAAACGTGTTAGATCAAATTTAAATGGTTTTTCATGAAATTCTTCCGATAAATTTAAATGATAAATATTGAAAAGAATCATTGTTCCTTTGGGCACGAAATGACCTGAGAAAAAAATGAATAAAAACTTAATTTATTGAACAAATTTGTAATTAAACAAACAAACCTTGAATAGATGTATCCAAACGGCTTAAATGTGGTACAATTGGTGATAATGTTAAACGTAATGTTTCCATAATAGCTGCCATAACCAATGGTAAACTATGTTGATCTTCAAGTGTAATCAATAATTTTTCCCCATTTTCCCCATTTGAATTAATCGATTGTTTTTCCATTGAAAATTTTTTCACATGATCATAAATTTGTTGTTGTGATTCAGGATTCATTGCCAAATGTCCTAATACACGAAACAATAGATTACCAACGGCTGAATTTCCACCAACCAAATCACCAATTTCATACATCATTTCATTCCATGTCATTGTACGTTGATTTTCCAGATAATGTTCCAAAATAAAATCTAAAAATTTTGCTGATGATTTATATTGTTTTAATAATAAAATACGATCAACAAAACTTTCATCATAATTAATTTCCGTTGATTGATCATTTTGTGGTTGTTGATTATTTTGATCTGATGAGGAGGAGCAGGAGGTTTCATTACCACTGTTATTTTCATTATTTTTTTTCTTCATTTTATGTTCCAAACAAATCTGTTCAAAACGTTCCATAACAATTTGTTCCACTTGTTTAAATATCCATGTTGAACATTGATATAATGATTTAAAATATCTTCGTATTGATGTAAAATATTGTAAAATTGGTAGAAAATCACTCAAATACATTTCATTTATATCGGAAAATACTAGATCAAATTTTTCACATATTTCAATAAATTTTTCATCCACTTCTACTATATTATTTTTATATGGATTCATATCTTTATCCAAAAGAAAATGAAAAAATATACTACATGATAATTGAATGATTGATTGTTTTTGTAGAATTTTCATTCCATATTTTTCATTATTATTTGATGAATCTGGTTGTTGTTGTTGAATTTGTTTTAATAATTTTTCAACAGCCAAATCTAAACAACCGGATAAACGTTGAAATGTTTTTGTACCAAATCTTGGTATAACAGCAGCATGTGCAATTGAACGCCGTTGTTTATGAACATCGGTCCAATCACAAAGTGCTAATGCATTTTGTCGATTCATATCAAAATATAATGCATGACGATTAAAATGTGGACGATCAGCAAAATGTTCACCTTTTGTTATTAATACTTCACGCATTGCATCAACCGATGATATAAGTACGGTATGAAATCGTCCTAATTGTAAACGACAAATTTTACCATGTTTTTCACGAAATTGATCAAAACCAGCCCATGGATTTTTGGAATATTTTCTCATTCGAAAAATATCACCAATAATTGGTATTGGAATTGGACCAGGTACAGCTAATTTTGCGTTTTTTGTATATGATAAAAAAAAAGAGAAGAAAGGGTTAAATTAGAAAAGAAACGATAAGAAAAAAAAATACAAATCTAGGTCGTAATTTTTAACCTTGAAATCAAAATAACAAATTCTGCTTTGATAGATTCATTGATAAACCAAAAAAAAAATTAACTACTTTGAAACTTTTTTTTTCTTTTCTCTTGAAAGTCAAGGCCAAGGACAAAATGATAATAAATTTATATAACAAACAAACAAACAAACAAATTACATGTCAACATCACCAGATTACCATAATATATCTAAGAACTTAAATATACCTTAAGGCCCTTAGAAACACACACAATAAACGACGGGTGTTCACAATGTTATCCTCAGAAAAACATTGATTATCATCAAAACAAACAGAATCAATAAGCAAAAAGCAAACAAAAACAAGCAGAAAAAAGTGATAACCATAATAACGACCTTGGCCCGGATCAAATATTTGATTTTTTTTTTGTCGTCGTCGTCGTCGTCGTTGTTGTTGTATGTTAATTTTTTAAGAAGGAAAAATTTAAATTTTAAAATATGATTGATGGATGTGGCCGTGGAATCTCATCATTGATTTTTCGTTGTGTGAAAAAATTACAAATCAAAAACCAAAAACTTACATGGTAATTTATAAATATCATCGGAAATTTTTAAACCAAACGATTGTTGTCGCTGTTGTTGTTCATTTGTTGATTTATAAATCATTGGAAAAATTTTTTTCATTGAAACATATGTTTCGGTATTTTTCAATACATATCGTAATTTAGGTAACCATTGATATTGATAAATCCATAATAAAATCATTATAATCAATATGATTAGAATTGAAAATAATTTCAATAAAAATAATGTAAAATTTTCTATTGGAAATATTAATGATAACATTTTTTCTTTTGCTCTTCTTGTTCTTCTTCTTCAAAACGAAACGAAATGAAATTTTCAATCAAATGATCAATATCGGATACCGATGATGACAATGACGATGATCAAATTGAATTGATTGAACATTGAGAAAAAACAATCGCTATTTATACGAACCTGAGATGATGATGATGATGATGTGATTAGAAGACAGAAAAAAACAAACAGCAGGTTTTTCGGTTGATCGGTTTATCGGTTAGTTCAGTTGGAAACAACAACAACAACGACAACAAAACGAAAATTGTTCTGTCCTATCCTGTTTTTGTTCTATAAATAATAATGCTGATGATGATGATGGTTGAAAGCAAAAAACAACAACAACAAAAAAAAGCGAAAATTGTCCTGTTTTATCCTGTTCTTGTTTCATATATGTTGATTATGATGATGATGATGGTTGAAAGCAAAAACAAAAAATTCCCAACAAATCCTGTATAAATAACCAGCATGAATAAAATTTCTTTTCTTTTCTTTTTCTTTCTTCGATTCAACAACCAATCAATAATGATAAAAGTTCTTTAACTTTATTAATATCACTGCAAAAAAAAACCTGGACACATACACTTCAGAACCGAATCAACCCCAGAACTTGCTTGTTGATTTTTTTGATTTTTGATTTTTGTTAATTCCATTTTCATTTTTTTGTTGTTTTTGTTGTAGTTTTGGTTGAATATTTACCGTCAATGTGTATTATCGGATCAGAAATCTCTCTCTCTCTCTCTCTCTCTCTCTCTCTCTCTCTTGATGGTTATAAATATCTCTAATAAATGCCTACAGTTTATTTTTCTTTCGACTATCTTTCAATTAATCATGATGAATCAAAAATAGACAAAAAAAACAACAAAAACAAAAATTATGGACAAAATAAAAAACCCGTTTTCGACCTTCGACCAGCAAAGATGATTTTCGCAACTAATCCAGAAAAAAAAGGAATTTTCTTCGTAGTTTATTAGTTCCCCCCCATTAAATTAAATTCTTTTCTTGGTAGATACAGGTGGTACACACAGGTATTTTTTTTTTTTTTTAATAACCAAAGAAAAGCCATGACCTTCTACAAGTGATAAATTGGATGATTTTTGATTTTTCTTGGTATTCTTAAAATAATCACCAAAAAAAAGAAAAAACGTTTTTTTGATTATCAAATGATGATACCCCTTCATCTTTGGACAACAATCAAAATTGAATGCTGAACAGAAGAAAAGAAAAAAGAAAAAGAAAGTATTTCTTAGAATAGTACGGGAGTGGTTGGTTGATTTTTCTTATAGTTTTTTTTCCTAATCCGATTCGATTCCAGAATAAACTGGTATCGAATAAGAATAAATGAAATGTCCATAACAAAGATGATGAGAAAGAAAAAGAGAAGATTGAAGGCGAAGGTAACATCAATGTATTTGCAATGGTAAAGCATCGTTATTTTCACCAAAAAAAAAATTTATTAATTAATTTTGAACATAAATTTGGTTTTTGCCTATAGGTTTTTTTTTATCATCATTCAGTTGATGTGTTGATGGACAATTTCCGTATTTTTTTTCTTAATAGTTAAATTTTTTGTTAATTATTGAATGCTACATATGAATTCTGTATGTGTTGATGTGTATATATGGATGTGAATGTGGTGTGCGCAAGCAAGTGTTAATTGTAAATTTGGAATCAATAATGAGTATCAATGTATTGGATGATAAACCATGGATATGATGGCTCTTTGATGACAAATTCTTGGTTTTCGTTGTTGTTATAAGTAGGTAGTTGTTATCATCACCATCATTATTAACTAGTCAAATAAAACATATGTAATGGTGTATGTATAAGATCGAAACGAGTTCCTTTTAGATTTGCACCACGTAAATTTACTTCATTCAAATCGGATCCGGATAGATCACAGTTTTCTTTATTTTGTTTAGGGGGAAAAATGAACAAACAAAAAATCACGATTAATCATTGGGATTTATTTTTCGAAAAATTATAAGAAAAAAAATTATTACCTAGATTAGCACCAGCTAAACATGAATGATCAAGATTACAATTTTGTGCATTTGCATTTTTTAATGATGCAATCCTTAAATTTACACGATGCATTTTTGATCCTTCAAGATTAACATTCTAAATATAGAATTATAACGAAAATCAAATTAGTTTTATTAGTTTTAAATCAGCTTTTGTTTCCATTGAAAAAACTTACATTAAGATTTGCACCTTCCAGATTAGTCAATTCGGTTAATGTTGGTGAATCCATATTCGAACCACGTAATATTGAATATTCAAGATTACAACAAACCATATGACAATTGATTAATGTTGCACCTTCAAGATTACATTTAGATAAATCGGCACGTTCCAAACAACAATTATTTAATGTTGCACCTTGTAAATTTGCACCACGTAATATTGAATATTTAAAATTTATATTACTTAAATCTAATTTGGATAGATCAGCACCGGTTAGATTAACACCTTGAAATCTTAAACGTGTATTTGTTGATGTTTGTATAATTGCTTTGACAACATCTTTACGGGTTAATGGTGCCAAACCAATTAAACGTTCAATTGTATTCTGTAATAGTGATTCTTGTAATACGGTTGCTTCCAATTCCGGTAATAATGAATAAAAACCATAAAATTTTGCCTCTTCCAATACACCCATTGGATTTAAATGTTTATCAATAATTAGATTACCATGTCGTAAATAACCTAATAATGGTTCAAAATATTCTGGACTTCTATCGATCATATATGCACCTTGTTCATCAATCAATGATGGTACTATACAGGTATTATTATTATCATTTAATAATTGTATTGTTGTTGTTGCATTGCAAGATGTTTTATTATCACCATTACCATTACCATTATCATTGATAATTTTTTGACAATTTTGTTCAATTTTTGTTGTTGAATTTTCATCACAGTTATTTTTTTCAAATTCTCCATTTGAAACATTATTTTGTACTATTGATTTGGTCGTTGGTTGTTGTTGTTTCGATGATTGACCAATAAAATTTTCATTATCTAAATGAAATGTTTCAAACATTTTAGCCAACATTGAATCCGGTTCTTTGGCTACAATTGTTGAACGTGTTGTTGTAAATATTTTACCACCAATATTTAATTTTATCCATTCATCATTCAATTTTGTTTTCATTGTTGTTTTTGTACTTTTATAATCGCTATTATCATTACAAATCGATGGTTTATTCGATTTGTTATCATTGTTTTCCATAGGAATCATACACAAACATTTGGCCGTCATTATATCACCAGTTTGATTATTCACATAACAAGCATATAATATTTCATCATCACGTATCAGATCTATATCATCAATTTCACCAAAATTTTTTGTAAATAATTTTAATGATGAATTTTCCTTCGTTTTACTTTGAAATTTTTCCTCTATATTCGTTAATAAGGTATCGATATTGTTTGGCAGGGCAAAAACCTTTTTTTGTAAATAAAATTTGAATCAAATTAAGACAAAAATGAATGAATGAATGAATGAATGAATGAATATTTACTTACCTTGCCATGTGGATGTGAATGACATTTTTCCATTTGTTTTTCATTATGTGGCATTATATCCATATAAATAGTAATACGTTTATGGAAATGTTTATTTTGTTTATTAATTGTGGATTCCATTGTTGTTTTGGTTGCTTTTTTTCAAATGCAAAAATTGATTTGAAAATTTTCAAGAAACAAAAAAAACTTTAAGAAAAGGCGTTAATAATAACAATAAGTTTAATTAGTGTCAAAAAATGTCTGATGGTAATTTCAATGATGATGATGATAATGATGATAATTCAATCCAAAAATCAAAAATTCAGCATGGTCATTGATGATGATGATAATGATCATCCATCAGTTGAAATGATGATGCTATCTGTTTTGGATAGAAAGAGAAATATAAAAGATGGTAAGATGAAACGTAATTTGTTGTTGTTGTTGTCGTCGATGATAGTTTTTGCTCATTTCAAATGCATAAGATCAAAGATTGCAACAACAACAACAATATTTTACATTGGAATAAAATCTGAAAAAGGATTGTATATGGGTTGTCGTTGAATGAAAGATGAGATTTGAAGAAAACTAATCGGAAATTGATAATGAAATTGATCGCATTGAGTGTCGAAAAACAGCACAGAAAAATTTGATTGTAACTTGAAATTTGAACGCAAAAAACTAATGGGAAAAACGCTTTTGTCACCTATACAGACACACACACACAGACAGAGGGGAAATACAATGTTTTTGAAACATACCCGATGATTGCGATTGAAAATTTGAAAAAAATGTGAAATGTGAATGACCAACAATAACGAAAACCAACAACTTTCTCTGGTTGTAGGTGGTGATGATGATGTTTTTGAACCAAAAAAAAAAAAAGATTTTCTGAAAATGAAAGAGAAATTTTTTCTATTTCAATTTCACATCATTGTTGTTGATGATGATCTATCGAAAACCAAAAAAAAAAGAAAGCGAGAGCGGTTAAACTGATATATATTGAGAGAACAATCAAAATAGAGAGAGAAAGTTGGGTTCGTTGTTCTTTCAGATTGTTGGTTCAAGTCAGGTTGTCGTTTTCGTTTCAGGATCTAATTTTTACCATCATTATTATCATTGTTTATTTTCATGTCCAAATCTGGTTTCTCTTTTTCAAACACATTTGATTCTTCGTAATTGGTTTTTGTTTGGAACCAGAAAAATTTCTTTTTTTCGGGTATTTCTGAGCGAGAAGCGAATCAATTCCTCTTCTACTTCTTCGAATGATGATCTGGTTTCGTTTCTCTCATTTCTCTCGATTGTTTCTCTATTCACTTCTGTTGCTGTGGATAAAAAAAGCTGGTTTTGCGTTTGTCTTTTGTAATGCACTATGTTCTTCTTTCTTTTTTTTTTTGACCTAGATTTTCATTAAAAAAATTGTCGTCGATGTTAGGTTTGGTGTTTGATTTGAATGTGGCGTCTACGTCGGCTGCTATTTTTTCTGGTTTGTTTTGGCTTGGTTTTTTTTTTGGATTCAATATTGCCACACAGCAAGTATAGTTTACAGTGAAAGATAGTGACAGAGAGACTGTGTGTTGCTGGTTGTGTTATTATGGAGTGTTTTCACCATTTTTTCACTCTCCCGGTTAGTCGGTCAAACACGATGATGATGATGACGGCGACGATGATCTATCGATCTGTCGTTGTTGTTGTTGTTGTGTATCCACCAACCATCCAAAAAAAAGAAGCAAAAGAGAAATAGACGCCATACAATTACAGCGACGACCTATAGACGCCAATCAGCTGGATTTTTTTCTGGTTTTTTGGTTGATATCTGGTGTGTGTGTGCGTATATATATAGAAAAACAGTTAGGTTAGGTTAGATAGTTTTCCACTACTCTAAACATTATCATCAGCATTTTTACATGAAAGCATCATCATTTTGTGTATGTCCATGGCTATATAATTGTATTTCTTCAACGTTTTTTTCCCTTACTTGTTCATTGATAATTGAAGCCATAGAAATGTTGTAAATATTTCTATACCGTTATTTTCCACCACCATCACCACCCTCGCAATCCCAATTTCACCACCATCGATGATCATATATTTGATGCAGATGATTTTAAATCCTGTAGATTTTGTTGAGCGCATGTCTAACCAAAAAATTCCAAGCAATTTGAAAATTGGTCAAAAAAATACAATGTAACTTTATCAAAAAACTTTTTGTTCCAAAAAAAATTAAAGGCCGGTTATTTGTAAAACAAAATGGCCATGCGTTCTTTCTACATCCAAACACAATCGATATTATCAAACCATCGTTCGATATTACAAAATTTTTTTTTTAAATCCTATCAAGAAAAAGAGGATGTAATCAAGGAAAAACAAATAAATGAAATCAACTATAATTATCGTATTTATTAAACATAATTATAATGCGTTATTTTATTGTCTTATAATAATAATGATAATAATGATTATGATGATTATAATTGCGATGACAAGTTGAAATAAGTAAAAAACAAAAAAACAAACAAACAAACAAACAAGTTTCTTCCTCTTTCCTTTTGTTTTCTGTGATTTTGATTTTTGATTTTTTGATTTTTTGATTTTTTGATTTTTGATTTTTTGATTTTTGATTTTTTGATTTTTTACTATTAAAATTTTGAAATTTAATAAATATGTGACAAACTCGGTCGATAAAATGATTTTTGACAACAAAAATTCACGGAAACGGAATCACTTTTCCATGAATTTTTCTTTTAAAATTTTTCTTCGTCATTTGCTTCCTTATTTATTATCCAAATGTTGATTGTTTTTCCTTCTCCCCCTTCTCCAATTTATTCCGGAATTGAATTGAATGATGCAAGGTGATTGTGATGATGATACAAGTATCATTAACAACAACAAAAACTATGCAAAAAAAAACAAAATTTTCTTGAAAAAATTTTTTCTCCCGGCAAATAACCCTTTGATGAGATT